GCTTCTGCCACTCCCTGGTAGGAGCATCTGGCAGAGCAGAGCAAGACAAGCACCCCTAGGACACCCACCCACCCACCTAGATGGATGCTCCTCTTGAGAGCGAGGCACTGAGAGATTGCTTACTGCTGCTGAGATGGGGATGCAATTACACACAAAAGGCAGGGAGCGGATTGTGGATCTGATGCACATTGTTTTCAGCGGATGTGGATTAGTTGCAGATTCATATGTTTATATCTGGAAAAGGCTCTAATTACAGCTAGTCAGACTTTTTAAATAAAAAATGTGGCCTTAAAAAAAAAAAAAAAAAAAGCAATTTCACACAAAATACTATCAACACTGTCAACATTTTTCATGAAAAATTTAGTGTCATTTTAAGTCTTTTTTTCCCCCAAAAAAATGTTATCTATTTATCTTTTTTTTTTATTGGGAAAATTTGTTTTTATTCATAGAATCATAGAATCATAGAATAATAGGACTGGAAGGGACCTCAAGAGGTCATCGAGTCCAGCTCCCCGCCCTCAAGGCAGGACCAAGCTCCACCTACACCATCCCTGACAGATGTCTATCTAACCTGTTCTTAAATATCTCCAGAGAGGGAGGTATTGTTTGGGTCTAGTGGTAATCACTCAAAAGAGAAAATAAACAACAACCAAATTAGTCAAATGACAGAGGTCAGTGCTTCTAGCTGTTATATTTCCACAGTCTCACGCTGCAGCCAGGTGACAGAAAGAGTTATTCTAGTTGTTCCTCATATGATTGTTGATTTGGCCAATAAAAGAAACACATGGCTACAAATCCATATTTCTTATGAAGGTCTGAATATGCGTATTGGTAGACCAAAATTATTTAGCTTGTACAGAAATAATTTCACCTCACACAGGTTTGGTAATACAATACTGGACCTGTGATGGTGAGAGTACTTAGCAGTGGGTAGAGATTTTTGGGAGTTACCCAAGATAAAGGGTGCTATAACACAGTAGAAAAATTAATATATTAGTGGCCATGCTGGGTATAATGTAATAAACTGAAAAGAAAAAGATCCTACTTTAATGTGATGGCTACTGAATACACTTTATCCCTAAATAAATACACTTTATCCCTAATTAAGTCATTTATTGGAGTCCGATGTTGGAACTAAAGTTCCAGAATCCCTGATCTTGGAAATAGTCAGGCATGCAGCCCAAAAGGCACATTTTTTCATATAGTTACAAGGGAACTACATGTTACTTCTGTAATGTTAATACCAGTCAGGCATCTTGCAGTCTTATTAAAGAAATGGGGTCACTAACATCTACCCTTATGTAACTCCATTGACTTCAGTGGAGGTATACCAAGGAGGAATGTGACGCTTTGCCGCTATGTTGTGCAGTAACTGAGAATGCAAAATGGAATATCATTCTGTATATGATTAAATAACTGGAATCTGCACAGCAGATTGCTTTACAGATGAGATAAGGTATATAATACTTTGCAGAAAGACTATTGTTATACTACAGCCTGTCAAAACTCATTGTGATACACTCACTCATTCAGTGTCCTTTTATGCACCTGTCTCAGAAACATAAAATTACCATCTATAAATTTAATAAACTTTATTTCAAAATTAATAATGGGATTCTTGTGAGATATTTCAGTGGACACTATGCCTAGGGCCATATCCATTCCTGTGTAAACTCCATTAACTTCAGTGGAGTTAAATCAGGGATGCAGTTGGTCCCTAAAGTATGGTGTAGCTCACCTGTTTAGTCATCCAGCAGCTATGCTTCCATGATGCTAGTCAGCTGTACACCCTAACTGTATTAGAGCTATTTTTTGCCTCACTTTGAAGGTGTTATACAATGCCCATCTTGATGAGCATTGGTACGGCACCTATTCCAAATGACTGTGTATTTAAAGTTCACGGGGCAAAACCTACACATTAATGCATTCCCCTCCCCCTTCACTTTTCAATATTGGTAGCCTGGGAAAGCAGGTTATTCAAGTGAATAAAGAAGCTGTCTTCCCAACTTGGCTGTTCTGCCAAATAATTAGCTAGAATTTTCTCTGGGAAAATGTCAGCATTGGGCAAATATCAGCATCAGGTTACTGCCCAAGTGGTCCATGCTTCTCTGCATTGTTATGGATACAAGTGGCAGTTGCTGTCACAATCAGATAATTCCTACATCATCTGTATTATTACAGCTTGAGCTTTTTTCCTCCAACACTGGACTCTTTTTGTGGCCCCACAGTTAAGTTTATTCCCCAGGAACATGAAGGTTGGCCCTGCTCCTTCTGTTTAAATAAGCACCAACAGGACAGGACACTTACAGCTCAGTTCAAGAAGGGCTTTGCTATTTGTAAGTTGCCTATGCTCCTTCATCAAATCCCTTCTCCTTGTCTCTG